AAATAATAATGTCCCAGTATATATTTAAAAACCGACCAAACTCTTGCAAGTTATTTTACCAATCGATAAAAACTCTATTCTATACGTGTCGAAATAAAATATCGTTATCTCTTTATAGAAAGTCCATTATTCAATTTTATTTTCATGAAATCAATCGTCGATAAAGTCTAAATCATTTTTATGCAAATTTTTGAATAATATCACGATAAATTTGCTCCGTTCATCCCCGAGAAACAGATTACAATGGGGCGCTAAATTATCATCCCGCTGCCCTATTAGTAGTCGAAGAGCTGGTGGTAAAAAATAATAGAAACTTATTTTTAATATAATTTTTCCGATTTTTAAAAATGTTTTCATTGTACTTATAAATATTGTACATATAACTTTCGAACTCATTTTGCAATATAGGAGTAGTAAGATAAAATAGTAAGATTTTTCAGAAATATAGATATGAATGGATCACTTGCAATAAAGTGGTTATTGAGGCTAATTTTAGGATTAAAAAGAAATATTATGGTAATACATTTTTACGGGTCTATCTTTGTATAAGTTGGTAGTAACAAACTGCCAAAAAGGTATATATTTGCTGTTTCATCAGGCGTTTTATACATAAAACCTAACTTCATGTATGTGTTATCAAAAAGCATGAAAAAGATGCACTTATGATAAGATAGTGTTTTGACATTGGTGCGTTTTGGAGGTTAGGTTTTATATGTAAAACGCCTGATAGTACAACAGTTTTTTGATAGTTTGTGACTACCAACTCATACGAAGATAGACCCGTAACATAACAATGTTGTCTGAGAATTTGACCCCTAGTTGCGAATTCTAAATCTTTTACACAAATTCCTTTTTTTCTTTCTAGTAAAACAAACACCAGCCCTCTTATTACCTATTCCCCTGGTTGGAGCCAATGCTTCCGATTGGATTTTAGGCACAATTTATTTGTCATTTGGCACCGTTCGAAAATTGATTTTGTGATTCTCCCAAACATGTGTCACGAATTGTTCTATAGATAAAAGTTGATTAAAAACAATCTAACTTTATTATTTCGTATAAAAACTATGAATTTTTTACGATTTTTGTATAGAAATCATCAGAATTTTAGATTGATGTAGAATCTATAACTAAATTGTGAATATTTTGATCTATTATTTTTTGAATATTATTTTGTGTATTATCGTTGTTGTGTATTTTTTGTTTATTTATTTTTTGTATAATTTATTCTTTACTTTACAAAATACAAAAACTATGCATTGCTGAATCTGATGCTGAATTTAATTCAGCAGTATTATTAATTTTATATTCAATTTTTCAAATTTTTAACTTGTCACTTTTCTATTTAAGTCTTTTATTTTTTACTTAACTTATTACTTTATTATTTTGCTTTAGATTCTTAATTTTTGTTATTTTTTATCTTATGTACTTTATTTAGATGTTAATATATATTTTTTTTCGACATTTTACATCATTCTGAATTGTTTGAGAGCAAACATGAAAGTATGTATCTATATAACAATAATATATGTATATATATATATATATATATATATATATATATATATATATATATATACGTATATATATATATATATATACACATATATATATATATAATATATATATATATATATATATAAATGTATAGCATGTAGAAAACATGGATTAAAACAAAATTTCAATAAAAGCTTATAAGCTCGTCCCAATGAAAGCTCTTACTGTCAGAGCTAACAAAACTTATTTTACAGAAAAGTGAATACAATGAAATATTGTTTCAAAAAATAATCATTTGTCGCAAAGGAATTATATAAAATATTTTGCATCAGTGAATTTCAAAAAATGATATTTTATGAGAATTGTTTCACATCACAATACCTGTTCTATATACAATATAAAAGATTAATAAAGGATTATAATATGGAACAGATATAATTCATTTGTTTCACAATGCAGGATTTTGTCTAAATCCATTAATCAACCAACATATACAATTATTTTGAATATATTATAATTTACTCATAATTACTCTAATTTATTGTTCCAATTAATGAAAAAAAAATGTTTTAAAATTTATTAAGTATTTTGCCCAAATTTTTGCTTACTTTTCAGTGGTTATTATTTTACTTTTCAGTTAAAATATTTTACCTGCAACTAAAATAACATTAACCAACCAAAATCAATCGTCAATTGTTATTAATTGTTGACACCCAAAAAAATTAAATTCGAAACAAAAGAATAAGATTTTATTAAACATTGTATATTTTGCAAGATATAACGTTTTCGTAAAAAATACTTTAATAAAATAAAGTAAAATATGGAATATCATAGCTTAGATGATATATTTCACACGTGTTCTTTAGAATCAAACATAGATGTTGTGCAGAAAATAATTCCTGGGAAAGGATACAAAAAGGAAATCCATAGAAGGTTTTTTTTTTTTTGAATTTCATATCTCATAATAAATGTAATGTAATTTTACTAATGTCATTGAATTATTACTATACTTTTTTAGTGACTTTTTGTAATAATATCAATTGTAATTGTTTTAAAGCATTTAGTGCAAATCACAATGGTGAAAGAACAAAATTGCACAAAATTTGCGCAATTGCTCGCATAATGTCATAGAATTATTAACATACGTTTTTAGCAATTTTTGAAAATAATATCAATAACCATGTAATTGTTTTATTAAGCATTTAATCTAAATCACAATTGTAAAAAAAAAATTATATTTAATAAAAAGCAAGTTATTTAGATATGAAAATTATTATTAAACTTGTGCAAGTGCTTGCATAAAATAAAATTATATTATTAACAATTTTCTTTAATGTATATAAATTTTGAGAAAGTATTTGTATATATAAAAGACAAGAGCAAATGTATTGTCTAAGTGCAAAAAAGTAAAAGTAGTTCTTTACAGTAATGATAGTACAAAAAAAACTTTATCTCATTAGTGGACCTAAAATAGGTCATTAGTATTTTTGTTTAATTTTTCTATTAAAAATTTTATTTACTAATTTCCCTGGTAGATGATTGGTATGTTTAGTCAACCTGACTAACTATGTCTGAGTACCTAATTGAATTCTTATGGACATATTTCTAATTTTTTATGGATTATATATTTAGAATTATTTTCTTTAGAATTCGTCGAAGTACTTTGGTAACAGAAAAATTGCCAATAACAAAGAACATCTTAAAAAGCCGCCGAGCCATAAAGTTAGAAAATAGGAGGCACATTCACTATGCCTATTTTACTATACATCCTTTTAGTCATTTTCGGTAAGAAAATAAATAAGAAACTATTTTTTTTATTAAAAAAGTAAATGCAAATATTTATTTTGGATTTAGGGTAGGGTGGGGCATAAAGGTCCAATTTGACTTTCAGACAGTGATTATATTGTCTAAAGTAAATGAACTACATGACATCACATAACATGTATCAAACAAACAACTATCGAATTACATTCAGTAAAATTTCCAGTTTCATCCTAATTATAGAAATATATTTGTTTACTATTTTTCTAAAATTTGTCATCTGTCCCTTTTTGCCCCATGGGCGTGGTAATAAGGGACAAAAAGGAGGCAAGGAGACCCAACGCCATTTTTTATTTTAAATAGATATGTGGATATACAGAGATATATGGGAAATTTTTTTACAGAGGTTTCATTGTACATAACCTTGATCTCGTATTTCAAAAAACACATTCATAAGCAGAGATCAAATATCTATTAATATAATTTAACATTTTATTTACTATTTTTCATTATTTAAACTTTAAACAATCTAAAGGTTTAGTTGGTTCTTTTTACTCCAGCCACATGTAAGCTTTTATAAAGGTTGTATCAAAAATAGAAACTCAAAACCACAGAAACTCCAAAAAAATCATACTTTTGGTATGAATATTGATACAATTCCGTTTATCTCCTGAATAAGATGATGACTAGTTACACATCTTTTACCCTCTACTTTAAAATATCATCACTAAAAAATTCCAATGATTGTGAACCTTTTTACCCGAGGACTTTAAGCCCTACTTTACCCTATCACTATTTTTTTTTATTTTTCAGTTTATCATAATATTTCGTTTATTAATATAATAGATTTTTCTCGAATTTTCAAATTCATATGTATCTTCTAACACTATTTTTTATTTTTCAGGTTATACTGGCAGTGGTTATTAATATGCTTGATAATTCTGAAGCTTGCAATCGCACCATTTGTCATAACTTTTTTGCCCAAGTCAAATTATGGAGTATTTTTCAATTTTCCAATGTTTTTAGTTTTTGTGATCGATTTAATAGGATTGTTGGATATTTGTCTGTCTTTTGTAACCGGTTATTTAGATCGAGACTCCTTGGAAATCATTTTAGAGTCAAACCTCATTGTCAAAAAATACCTCAAGACCCGCTTCATTTTCGACCTCCTGGCATCGTTTCCTGCAGAATTTGTTCTTCACATACCAGAACCCCAAAGTGAAGAGGACAGCTTTTTGTTTACTCCATTCATATTTTTTATTTTCTGCAAAATTTTTCACTTGTGTACCCTTTTGTCCTATTTGCACGGAAGTAAAGAATTAAAATCGAGTTTGACTTATTTGTCGAAACTCATATTTCGAATCCTGGTCATCGTCATCGTAATACATTGGCTCACTTGTTTACTTCTGATGATGACCAGATTCCGTTATGGCGATAATGTGGATAATATTCCCAGATCTAACTGGATTTATCAAATTTCATTTGACCAAATGGACACTACAACTCGATATATTTTAAGTTCGTATGTTGTCATGCGCACAATTTTAGGGTTCCAACATGATGATAAGGTTAAAATATTTTTTTTGGACCACTGTGCATTCTGTATGGCGATGGCCTTGTTTGGTTATTGTTTAAAAATTGCAATTACTATGCAATTTATAATTTTAATAAGAAGCAAGAACGCTTCTCATCTGAGATACCAGAATATACTGCAACAATTCGAAGACTTTTTGATGTACAAACAAATGGCGTTTGGAACAAGTAAAAGGTTGATGGATTATTACGAGTATCGTTTCCAGAAATATTTTTATAAGGAAGGTACAGTTTTGGATTCTCTATCGTCACATTTGCAACATGAGATATTGGTAACCAATTGCAAAAGACTGGTTGAAAATGTTCCGTTTTTCACTAATTTTCCCCAAAATCTCATCATGAACATCGTCAAGCTGTTGGATGCCGAAATATATCTACCCAAGGTAATAAATGATAAATATTCAAAAGATTGTTGTTAAATTTGTTAGTCCAAAAGAAATGTTTATTATCATTAATTTTTTTTCAGGATTATATTATTAAAGCAGGAGAACCTGGAAACTGCATGTACTTCATAAATTGCGGAACAGTAGCTATTTATGGAGCAAGTTTAATTGAAAAAAATCATTTGTACGATGGAGATTATTTTGGAGAAGTATCTCTAGTCACAGGAGAAGTTAGAATAGCTTCTGTGGTTGCAATAGAAACATGTGAACTTTATACATTGTCCAGACAACATTTTATGGAAGTTATGGGCCCTTATCCACATTTATTTGAGAAAATAAAGGACACTGCACTTATTCGGGCTAATATTAAAATGGCTGTCAAGAAATGGCTTAGTTTTAGAAAATCGGATACTTGATGATATAATGACTCATAAAATGTACTTGTTTTTACTACAGTGCTGATTTTTAATTAAATTAAATCTTTGGTCTTTATAAATTAGTTTACTTGCAAATATAGATTACTATAGGTATTGAGTCTTAGATAATTGTAAAATTTCATTTGTCGAAATAAATTTATGGCAAATTGACTATCGATCGAATTAAAAAAACAAAATAATTCAATATTGGCATATTACAAAATCAATATACATTTGTTTAATATTACTTACAATTTGTGTTATTGTAAAAAACAATTTCCTTTTACAAATATGTCTAATACAAATGTATTTCATATACACAATTGTTCGATTTTTAATAGAAGAGATGCATTAGATCGTGTTATTCCTGGAAATGGATTAATACCACAGTTACGTAGAAGGTAATAATTATAGGAAATATTTATATTAAAAAAATGATATTTTTTGCAGGTTAAAAATTTTATTTTCTCAATTCCCATTTCAACAAACTATTATTAAGAATTTCTTTATAATTTATTCACTTATAATGGTAATATATAACACACTCCAATCCTTGCATTTTTTCTTGTATTATTTAACGATTTATTTATATATGGATAATTTTGCTTGTTTATTTTCTAATCAAAAAGCCTTACTTTGTTGGTTATTATTTTCTTGACGTTGTCAATAATTGTTTTTGAAGTAAAACTTCTTTAGGCGTGACTAGGGTGTTAATCCGTACAAATGCAACGGAAGTTTGTTACGGCAGATAAAAGTCAAGTGCCAATGATTCGTCATTCGCTCTCGATGAAATCATTTCTATACGGGTCGACTGTGATTGGCCGTCGTGTCGCGTGATAGTGTTCTTTGATTCTATGCGTATACGTAGTTTTTTTCTTGATTTTTAATTAGTAATTACTTTTCTTGTTCGAGGCTCAACATGAATGATTAATTATTTAGGCAAAAACATATTTATTTAATATTTTTTCATTTAGATTTAGAAACTACTGTATGGTATGTCCGGATTTTCCTGCTTCAAGGGCAAATTTGAAAAGCGAAAGAGCTGTTCATATGGAAAGGAGAAGGCATTTGCATCAGTATTACTATGTTTTTCATCCTTTTAGCAAATTTAGGTAAAAATTTGATTTTGAAGAAGTCATAAACAAAGTGTCCTAGAGGCCAATTCTCGAATAAAATAGAAATGATTCGAATGAGTTGGTAATCACAAACTATCGAAAATGTATCTATTTGCTATCGGAATTTTTATACATAAAACCTAACCTACAAAACGTGCAAACGTCAAATATATTATATATTAATCGCTTTTTAAGGGTTTTTGGACACCTCTCTCTTTCTTGGTGATACTCGTGATATTTAAATTCCCCCTCCACCCTTCCCCACAAACATCACGTGTATTATTAGTACCTAGAAGAATCATATTTTTTTTTAAAATACTTTTGACAATTTTTGAATTTTTTTTAATTAAGGCAATAAATAAGTGAACGTGATATCTTGCTAGATCATCCTCCTTCGTGATTTTGTGTCAAAATACTTCCCACTTTAAGCGTCACGTGATCTATCTTTGATAACACATGCGTGAAGTTAGGTTGTTTGTGTAAACCACCAGATTGCACAGCAAATACATAAAATTTTTACAGTTTGGTACTACCAACTCATACAAATATAGACCCGCAACATAGCATTACCATACCATACCTATTTTATCCGAGAATTGATACTTTAGTTTTGTGGATGATATTGAATAAAACTTTATATGAATATGGTTATGTAATATTTAATTATAATTGCTGATATAAAAATTGTGTTTTACAGGATGCTTTTCGAAGGAATCATGATACTTTTGTTGTCACTTCAAATTCTTATTGTGCCATATGTTATTTCTTTTTACCCAAAACATGAACATTCCTTGGTTAATAATTTTGCTATGGTAAATATATTCTTACATTGATTAATATATATTATATGCAATATTTAGCGATTGTGTGATTGATGATTCGACACTGTCTCATAAATTTTTGATTCTAAATTGAATTTTTTTTTTCTAGCTCCTGTGCTTCTTTGTAGATATGGCTTCAATAATAGACATAATGTGCTCCCTTAACACTGGTTATTTTTGTACCTCCAACAAAGAGATAGTACTTGATCGCAAAAGAATCATTATTAATTACTTTAAAGGATACCTAATATTCAACATAGTCTCGAGTGCACCATTGGAACTGCTCTTCCATTTATCATACGAGACAAGCCATTCCTTAAACTCGTTCATAATATTTGGTCTCCTGAAGTTTTTCCATATCATAACTCTAGTTACCTACATGAAAAATTTTCAAGTGTGTTACTACACATCATCTTACACCTCTCGTTTCTTGAGACAATGTTTTGCCTTATTTGTGATCCTCCACTGGTTGGCATGTTTGAAATTCATGATCACCCGTTGGACTCATGGTGATGTCGAAGATTTGATACCAACTTTTGCTTGGGTAAAACAAATGAACTTTTTGCCCAAGTTTCCAAATGATCGTTACATCACGTGCTTTTTTAACATCATGAGTGCCAGTACGACTTATAACTATGGAATGTCTCTATCTTTTTCTTCCGAAGACATGATCATGACAATGGTATTATATCTTTTTGGATCAATCCTGAAAATTCTGGTAGTTGCACAAATTTTGCTTCTGGTTAGAAACACAAATGCCTCTAAATTGAAGTACCAAACACTGCTCCAGCAATTGAATGAGTTTATACGCCACAAGCAACTTCCTCAGGTGATCAGGAATAGATTGTTGGATTATTATGAGTTTAAATTTCAGAAGAATTTTTATAAAGAAGACGCTATATTGGATACTTTATCTACGCAACTCAGACAAGAGATTATAGTGTACAGTTGCCGAAGATTGGTGACCAGTGTTCCGTTTTTCGAAAAAATTCCAAATACTTTGCTGGTTCGTATTGTGACTTGTCTGCAGTCTGAGATCTACTTAGCACAAGTAAGTAGCTTTACACAACAATTATTAACTACCAGTAGGAGAAGTTTGTTTTCATAAAAAATTCCGATTCGCTAATTTTGTGTTTTCTCGACGTTTCAAGCCATTCTGAATCGAATGAGATCAAAATTGGAAAAGGTATGTGTGCGTGTGTGAAAGGATTTTTTGCGGTAAATCGACATTTTCTCAAAAATGGCTGGACCGATTTTAAAAATTTAAAATCCATTCGGTGTATCTCGATGAGGACTAACGTTTTTCAGTTTTGTGCGACGATTGGGCGAGCCGTTTCTTTTCAATTCGCAGAAAAGTGAAAAAAATTTAGTCGACCAGCCAGCAATTCTGAATCGATTTCAAAAATTCAAAAACCGTTCGAAAGATATTGGATCGATCGAGCCATTTTCTTGTAATTTTTTTTTTTGACGATTTTTATGATTTTTTTTTTTGACGATACTACCATAGTCTTATAGACCATACTAAAATATTACGGCCTTACGACAACTCGTTTAACTTTAAAAATTTGTCAAAGTTTGCAAAAATTAGTATCGTTTGTTTGGCATTTGTCAAAATTAGACCTTTAATCGACGTTTTCTCAAAAATGCCTGAACCGATTTCAGAAATTTAAGAGCCATTTTATGTATTTCAATGAGGCCTATCGTTTGTCAGATTTGTGCGACGATCTGCCAAGCAGTTTTTTGCAGTTTGAAAAAAAAGTGTTAAACTTTTCGTCTACATTTAAGTTTATACTACCAAATCAATTTAAAAAAAACAAAAAACTGTTCGAAATATATTAGTTGGGAATGATACTGATTCTTTTTAGGTGAAAATCTATTCAACAGTTAAAAAAAAATTTGAGCCGCTTTTTATAGAACTTTTTTGGTGATATATATCATAGTCTTATAGAGCTTACTGAAATATTACGGTCTTACGACAAGTAGTTTAATTTTAAAAAAATATCAAAGTTTTAAAAAATGAGTAGTTTTTTTTTACATTTGTTAAAATTAAAATTAGACGATTTACTTGGTATAACGATAGAGTGCTTGGTCTTAATGAACATACTAAATCATTAAAGTACTACGGAAACTGGTTCAATTATAAAAATTATTGATTTTTGAAAATTTGCTTTTAGAAAATACTCCAATTAACGTGTTCGTTCGTTTTCAATGATGTGTAATAAATCTACTAGGAATACTTTTAATAACTCATAAATTAATTTATTTTTTATTGATTAAGTCGATTATTTACACATATGTAACTTGTTCATGTAACTTGCCTCAAGGCAGAATACCAATACCAACTAGTTTTTATTCTTTTTCTTTTATTTCCAGGATACAATAGTAGTAGAAGGCCAACCTGGTCACAGCATGTTCTTCATAGGATCAGGAACTGTAGCCATTTATGGACAAAATCGTGAAGTCGCACATTTGAGTGACGGTGCCCATTTTGGAGAAGTCGTTCTGGTCACTGAAAATAATTTAAGATCGGCAACTGTTGTAGCTATAGAAACTTGCGAACTTTACACTTTGGATCGAAAGGATTTTATGCAAGCTATTTCTCCTTATCCTGATATTATGGAAAGGATTCGTAGGGAGGCATATAAACGTTTGAATGTTTCTTTCTCCAAGTGGTCAACTGATGAAGTTGATGACAGTAGATCGGTTCTTGACGATGATGGTGATGATCTGGATGATACTAGACCAGAAAATTTGGTCTGATAAATGTAATTTCATATAATAAAGCAATGTGAGAGAATATTTCAAAACATTTATTTTTTGCATTCTTGATCAACCTAGTTGCGTGTATGCATGCGTAGGTGTGTATCATCTTCTTAAAAATCGTCCTTGTAATTTCTAAAGTGCTTTTCTATTCCAGTCTGGCCAGTGTAGAGTTTAATATCATTGTTTGATATTACGAGGCCTTGACTCTTGTTAATGACCCGACGATTGATGGGAAATTCATATGGGTACCAGAGGCGTAGATAAATATTTCATAAAAACACTAAACATTTACAAATTTCAAACATTCTATAATTTTTGTCAATTTAAGACTGTTCTCCATCGAACGGAATATAATACAACACTTAATAATTATATGAACTAGAATACAACTAAATAGAAGTGGGATTTAGCTCTAAGGCAAATTGTGTAAATAAACAACCTAGTCATTATGAATTCATATTCAAAATTTTTGAAATTGTGACAAAATTACTGGTGCATGGCATCGTGCCTTAAGGCAAATCTCTGGTACTTACCGTACCGTAATTTAAACTTTTGAAAGATAAAAAATTTGTAGAAACAAATAAATTAATAATTTAAAAAATACTTTTTGAAAACTTTGAAATTTCTGAACAAATTGGACTTGAAAAAAATTTTTTTGAAAAATTAGATTATTCTAATTCATTTTTTTTTTGAAAATGTCAACTTTTTTCAAACATTATAAATCTTGATACAAAATCCACAAAAATATGAACAAAATTTGTACTTATTATTAAAATCTCTATGAAATATCTGATTTAATGAACATATGTATTTGTATGTTCATTTTTGACCACTAAATGGCATTTTTTATAATTTTTTTATTGGATATCCGAAACCGATAGACCTGCCTTCCCAAAATGCATAGTTCTTCATTTTGTCAATACAAGTAAAATGTTTTGGAATTATTTCGATCGAACCCATTCTCTCAAAAACTGAGTTACCATTTTTGGCATTTTTTGTCTCGTATCTTCAAAACCGTTGGACCTACTTTTGTCAAAAACTAACCAGCACGTTTTCCCTATTAATACGAATCGAATACTTTTTTTCATTCAAATCAGTTGATTCGTGTTTACAAAATTGACATTTTGAATTTCTTTTTCTTTTCTTTCCAACAGCTCAAATGCTCCCAAATTATTAAGAAAAAATCCTCTGAAAATTTTAGCTTTTGAAATAGCATGGAAAAATTTTCAAAAATTTTAAAAATTATTTTAGATATAACTTAACGAACAAATGAATGAGTATCATTCAAAATTCGACGCTCCACAAAATAAATTATAAAAACCTCTTTTGCAGAGCGTCGAATTTTAATAGACACGAATTGTCATTTAAATACATTTGTCGCTAAGTTATACCAAAAAACATTTTATAAAATTTTCGATTTTTTTCCATTTTTTCCATACGAAGTTTGATTGAATTGCGCAATATCTAAAAGTTAATATAAAGAGCTAAAACTTTTAGAGAATTTTTTTAATCAATTTCGAAACATTTGAACCCTTGGGAGCAAAGAAATTCGAAAATGTGCATATTAAGGACCACCCTAACACACATGCACACATTTTTTTTAATGTGTGCAAAATGTTCAGA